TAGTAAATAGGTACAAGGCAGACTGCTTCCTTCTCTAAAATGTGGGCTTTGGTGGCGTACTACAGGGAAAATGCTTTCTAGATGGATAAAGACATACATTATAATACTCATACATGTGTAGCAGTATCTTATACTACCATACACCAAATCTACAAGCAGAATATACCAACAATGTCTGGTGTACAACGATAACTCTGTGAACAAGTAACACACAATACCAAAATGACCAGGAGGTTACAGACAACACTGGTCTTCAACTGGGGTGGTGGTTGTGCAGATTCCTACATAAAATCTAGGTCATGCAAATCCTAACAGTGCAGTAAGTGGATTTTATATGTGTTTGAATAAATACAACACAAAAGAATATGTCAGTAATATGTTTCATAAATTATTTCTCAAAATAACTTCTTACACTACGTACTGTATTTCAATTAGCTTCAAATTATCTCAAATAGAAACAATTCTGTTTTAATTAAAACTTGAATTACTATTACAAATTACACATATATATCAGAAGAGAAATCAACTTTCAAAATATTGTTTGAAATGACACTTCTTCTTAGTTTCAAAGTTCTTTATATACGTTATCAAAATCCTCTGTGTAACTTACCTGTATACAAGTGCAAGTATATTTAACATTGTGGCTACATCTGGATGATCGTGGCCACTGGTCTTTTCCAAGTCCTCGAGGGCCTGTTTACACAGTGGCACTGCCACCTCATACCGGCCCTGGGACGCATACTGTATGACTAGATTGTGAAGGGTGCGTAACCGAGCAGGGATTTCGTAGCCCCCACTGGCCGCCTGAGCCATTGCACTGGGTTGGGAGGGGGAAAGAACTGAAACATAATAATCAAGCATGATGTTTTGAGGTTTTTATGCGCAATATCGAGTAAATGTACTTATTTTTTAAATATTTCTCTTTGTTTAAGATGTTAGTTTTTCAACAGGAAGAAAAATGTGAGAAGTAGTTCGGACTCGTTACTAACGAACGATCATGATATCAAGTTTCTAATGACTGAAGACGTCTGATCATAGAAATGAATCTAGTATAAAGAATTCCCATTGTAAGTAAGGTTTGTTTCCCATCATTAATCTTACTTATTATGTAGGCGTGTGGATTCACAATGCCACTTGTATACCCATTTACTGGCCTACATAATTGACAATAGCTCTGATGTTGTAAGTGTTTTTCCCACCCACTTTTCCATTATATCAAGCATGCATATATAATATACATGTATATAATAAAACGTATTATGTTCTCATTCTAAAGATTGATAATGAAAGTGCTGATGCTTTACAGATCAAGATGTTTCTGATTTTTTTAAATGTTCATAAACATGTTTATATATACAGTAAATACAAATTCAGACGTCTAGATGTATTACTGACCTTCTGGTTGAGGAGAGTCGTCATCGTCATCAGGAAATCCAAGTTCTAGTGACTGTGTTGACTGGTCCTGTTCTTTCTCTTCTGTTGCTTGGTGCTGTAACACAGAGGTACACCCTAGGATCAACAACAGCAAAACTAACTTCTTATCCGAGGTCAGTTCAGTAAGGCCAGATCAAAATATATCTGTTTCCAGTAACCTCACGACAAACTAGATTCTTGTGCCAACATATAACCTTAATGGTTATTGGATAATTTGACATGTGCTCATAATACAAGTAAATTTTGAATCGATACAAATATGCTCTGCAAAAAGATAAGCAAACAAATCTTTTGATCAATCCTCCTTAACGTTTTAGAATGTTACACTTACAGGATACAGATAGGTTATTTTGTTTGGCCAAAAATCTTTCCAGTATGACATGTTCATGGTAGCAGTGATCTGGGGATATTACTGGATAATACCTGACAGGATGTGAAATGTTTAAACACCTTGTGGCTCTGATGGCCAAACAGCTCAGGTGGAGCACACATAATGACATTAAATAAAGCTTACTTCGGTTTGAAATTGTCAGGACGCAGACCAACCACAAGGCCACCCAGCCTGACTGCTGAATATTGCCAAAGGATGTGTGGAATTTATAACCACACCCCACCCTTTGTCAAGTTAATATTAATGGATAGATAAACAAGAACTGATGCCTAAACACAATAATGAACATGACTATCTCAAACATTTTACAAAGTTACATGGTTTGTTTTGTCTAAATGGCCCCTTCTGAATTCCTAAGTTTGTGAACACCAAAGATCTCATGAGCGTTTGTATGGGAACATCTTCTATAAGGTTAATTTTCTAAATGGCTGTCAGATAGAAAAGGTTCTGTGATCAGGTGGAATGAAAGCTCCTATAGCACTGGCGCGAAGCGCACCTGGATGTTGACATGGTTTATTATTCAGAATAGGTGCATTTCACATTTGTTTTAACAGCACTTAAAACTCATAAGATTTATCATTATTTTGGAAATTTTGCAAATATGTATCTTTGGATTATTTTTTATACTAAAACTCTGGAGAGTGAAGAGTGCCTAACACTAGCCCCAATTCCTACAGGTTTTGAAATTTACACCTTAGCCCTGGAATGGAATGGAAAGTAAAATGTACCGATGTATAAATCTAGCGTGTTTACATCAATCACTGGCATTAAAAACTGAAATGTGTCTATATGCTACTGCCGTGTGCATAAAACAGTGATACAGGGTAAGCACCATAGTTCTTTTTTGATAAACACTGCTAACAATACACCGGTCTCCGGACACAGCTATTAAACTTTAAACAAAACCAGCTGTAGCTCTTATTATTTTGAAGAAAAAAAGTCATGCTCCCAAACACAATTATTGAATTCAGGAAAGTAAGGAAATAAGAAATCCTAGATAAAAGGTCTGATAAGGCCAGTCTAATTAATTACCAGACAGAAGATAGACTGATGAGTTGAATGACTACGACAGTAACAGAACTACAATGTCACCAGTGTTAGCTGTCAGATGAGGCTGTTTAGGAATGTTAGATGTTCCCCACATGTGTTAGTCTATCATAGTAAAGAAATAATTCAGAGAGTTGTAAAAAGTGATTTATCAGAATAAACTGAAAATCAGATTTTATCAATTTCATAAAAACCTGTATAAAGCATGTGCTTCATCTTGAGAGAAAAGAGATTTCAATAAATAGAATCCCTGTTTAATGGTACATGTATTGCAATGCAAACTCCAGCTTTTCACAAATCAGGTAGATCAGTTTTATCCATGTTGCCTAGTCAATGAAATAAATAGTTACATTAAGAATAACATATTTCAAATTGAGGATGACAGTATCAAGCACTTCTCTTTAACTATTTATGCAAATTATTTATTGATTTTAAGGAATTCATGTGTTTTTTTTAGAAATTATCCTTTTAATTTTCAAATATTTTACATTGAATATATAAAATGTTTGATCTAAATGCATTGATTATACAATCTTTCAGTGAAATGCATGAATGTGAAAGCTAAGTTTTAACTTGTTCTTTGGTGCAGTTCAAAAGCAACACACAGTGTTAGTAGAATAGTAACCAAAATCTAATTGAAGTCCATCTACCCAACGACCCAGCGTGTGTACACTGCAGGGTCAAACCACTTACCACTGGCACTACCCCTCCTGCTGAGCGTGGTAAAGACTGGCAAAGAAAAACGCCATTCAAATATAACAGCAAATTGTTCTCTCCACCAAACTTATTTGACCAATGCCAGTCTGATTACCAATTCTAGTCACAGGACAAATGGATATCACTATGATGCATTGTAGCATTGTGTAATTATACAAAAAGTAGGTTTGGACGAATT